CATTATCAACATTCATCCAGTTGTAAGCTGTAGAGTTGTCACAGGACGCTTCATCAGCCTACGTCAGCACCCGCGGACTGCTCTCATAACATTAGCATAGTGGTTTCATAGGTGCAGTTGACTGCTTAAACTAAACTTTACACGAAACTTAAAACTGACTCTTAAAACCCACATGTGCCAACACGGAACCATCAACATCTCGCCTCAAATTGCATTAAAAGTAACATTCGTGTCTTATTTCGTTCGTATTATAACTTTTAAAGCAATTCTCGGACTTTCTGTCCGCCATCTTGGTTTGTTTCGGCTGCCGCGCATGCGCAGGTTTGCATTACATCATAAACAGCTGAGTATTACATCAGCGTCACAACTCGGCAAGCGGCACAACTCGGCAGAACAACGGCACAATTCAGAATCATTCATAAAACACACATAAAATACATTTAGCAAACAGTTCATAATTTATGCAGTGCTACCGGTTGTTTAGAGCAGTGACTGCAGACAGGAAAAATGATCTCTTGTGGATGTTTTTTCGGGCCAGCTGGGTTCTGTATCTCCTTTCTGATGGCAGCAGAGAGAAGGAGCCATACAGCGGGTGTGTGGCATCCTCAGTGATGAGACTGGCCTTCCTCAGCAAAGATTGGCTGTGCAGCTCACAGAGCAGAGTTTGTGGTGTTTGATGGACAAGTGATAGGATCATGTCTGTAATTCAGACAGAAGACATGTTTTCTTGTCATTGGTAGAGACAGCACGAACATGAACACGAACAAGGATGTTACAGACTGCAAGTGATAATATACAGCGGAGGAATGAACACCGTCCAATCAGCTTTCGCCACGATGCCAGTAGCTTGGCCTTCAGAAATCAAAACATGCTGTGGAAAAGTACTGGCTTGTGCATATTGTTAGAATGATGAGTTAGAACTTTAACCACAGTTGCTTCCATCTGGTTCCTACTTACAGACAGAGACTAAAGCTCTCGAAACCTGCAGTGAGGAGCTCCAAAGTGTGGTCTGATGAAGCTGTGGAAGAGCTGCGCGCATGCATGGAATCTACAGACTGGGACCTTTTCAGAGCTGCCACAGATAGTTTGGATGAATACACGGACACTGTAACGTCATACATTCACTTCTGTGAGGATAGCATCATTCCAACAAGGACCAGGGTCATCTATAACAATGACAAACCCTGGTTCACTGCTAAACTCCGGCAGCTCAGGAAAGCAAAGGAGTCTGCTTTCAGGGAGGGGGACCGCAGTGGCTACAAAGCAGCTAAATATCTGTTCAGGAAAGAACTGAAAGCAGCCAGGTCCCGGCACAGAGAACGACTACAGGAGCAGTTTGGTAACAACGATACTGCTTCTGTCTGGAGGGGCCTACGGGAGATCACCAACTACAAACCCAAAGCCCCCCCCTGTGCTGATGACCACAAGCTAGCTGACGATCTGAACTTATTTTTCAGTCGCTTTGATGCTGCCCCTGACACCTCTCCCTCCCCCACCCCCCACTACTCTAACGACCCACCCATCAGCCCTGCCCCCAGCCTAACAATAGCCTCTAAAGAGATTAAACAACTCTTCTTGAGGCTGCACCCCCGCAAAGCTCCTGGCCCGGACCACGTGTCTCCGGCCACTCTGAGACACTGCGCCAGTGAGCTTACTCCTGTGTTCACTGACATTTTCAACACCTCTCTGCAGTCCTGCCATGTCCCGGTGTAACGCCGAGATACACTGCCTTGAAGAGATGCACTGCCTCAGCTGTTTATGATGTAATGCAAACCTGCGCATGCGCGTCTCACGGCAGCCGAAGCATACCAAGATGGCGGACCGTGAATTGCTTTAAAAGTTGAAATACGAACGAATTAAGACACGAATGTAACTTTTAATGCAATTTGAGGCGAGATGTTGATGGTTCCGTTTTGTCACATGTGGGTTTTAAGAGTCAAAGTTTTGTGCAAAGTTTAGTTTAAGCAGTCAACTGCGCCTGTGAAACCACAAAGCTAATGTTTTCATAGCAGTCCGCGGCTGCTGACGTAGGCTGATGACGCGTCCTGTGGCAACTCTACACTCTTACACTGGTCTGTCGGGTTGATAATGGAAATAATAAATTTCATTCAATACATGTATCGTACTGTATTTAATATGATTAACAATAGTGTGTTCAAACAAAATATATTTAATTAGATGGGGGCATTTTCAAGACCACGGTTTCCCACCCCCCCCCCCCCCCCCCTGTTCCCCTTTATCCGCTATTTGTCACTTTAATAAACAAAAACACAGTTTTTCTCCTTAAAATCACTGAGGAATAACAACCACAGTTTTTGGGACTCCTTAACTCCAAATAACTCACTTTTAAGATCCCTCACACACAGTTTTTTTTTCCTTCCTTTAGTTTAAACTAATCCATTCACTCTTGAGAAAATAAAAAACACACAAAGTTTTTTCCCTCCTTTTTTTTCTTAAACGTCCCCCACCCTTTTAGACTTTAGAAATACTATTTAACCCATTAAAAATATTAAATAACTTTGCAAAATCCTGCAATATTTTTTCCCTAACTTGGGGTGTTTTTTTTTTGTTGTTTTTTTAATTTTTTATTTTTTAGGTCTCCAGGTTCCAGGATGAAAGGAAAGATTAATTATGTTTGGGGTAACAATTCTTACCGTTTTTTATCCTTTTGGCCGCACAAAATTTAATCTTTTTTTTTTTTCTCTGAACCGGTCCCCTAAAGTTGGGGTCCCTGTCCCCCCCCGAAAATCCCTGTTCGAGCGACGCCCAAGTTTCTGCCAGTAATTTTGGTCCAAGGAATTCCCCCCAGCCCCAGAAAGCCGCAGAGAGGCGCAAAAACACAGCCCCCCCCTCCCGTTTCCCTGCCAAAGTTCCCTGTTTAGTATTCAACAAGAGTCAAAAACCCAATAGGTAATACAGTAATAAGAATGAAAAAACCAGGAATACCAAAAACCCTGATATTTCAAAAAAAGTTTTTATATTGAAGGAAGTTATTTTGCAAGCAATATTATTTAAAGATAAAAACGGTCCCCGCGCGAACCCACCCAAAAGTCCTCCCCCCGCTTTCGGCGTTCAGATTAGGATGGGCACCCCCGGGGGAACGTCCCCCCCTCACTTGCTCCTTGTCAAGACGAAAAAGCGAAAAAAGCCCTCCTCCTCGTGGACCACTCCCCTGCACCATACATTTATACTTTAAAAACCACCCCGAAGGGTTTCAACTTGACAACACAGATTTCCGTGGAAACCCTCTATGAACTCATGGCCCCAGCTTGCCCAAATCCTGCAACCCTTTGGCCCACTGATAGCCCAAACCAGTTGTCCCTCCTCTCCCTCTTGTTTCCCCCTCCCCATTCTCACACAAACTAACCCCCCCTTTGAACTCCACTGGGCTCTTTTTTGAGAAATTTAACAAACAAACAAGTGGCTAAATTGGGCAATAGAAAAAACAATACTAAAACTGTTTTTTTTTATTTTTAGGTTTTTTTTAACTGGTGCCAAGAGTTTTTAAAATATTCCAAACAACACCCTCTGCCAAGTAAGGATATTCCCCGCTCCTTGGGAGAGGCTGCCTGACCCCCAGTATTTTGTTATTTTTCCCTGAAAATTCCCCTTTTTCCCCCTGCTTTGCAGTTTGGTGAATGCGCGGGCACCTCTTTTGGGAGAGGTGGCGCCTTCCCCATCCTTTCTCTAATGGCTATTTTTTCTAGACCCTCCGGGTCCCCCCTCCTAACCCGCTTGGTTGCGGTTAAAAATTAGCACGTGGGGTTCGCACGAAGGTTTGTCCTCCCAATCAACCGAGTGTTTTTTTTTTTCCATTAGCATGCCTTTTGGGAGTACATCTAGTTCCTGGGCTTCGCTAATGTTTATGGCAATAGCCGAAGCCTAAAGGGCGAAGCAAAACCAATATGAAAAATAGAAACCCCAGTTTTAACCTAATGTAACTAAGTTTCCTAAATGAATATGGTTTTTTTTTTTGCGAAAGCCCTTTTAGCTTTTTCCGAGCCCAAGCAGCTCTGCCCTCCCTCCCTTATTTCGGCCTGATTCGAAAGGAGGAAGAGCTTGTGTTTGCATGGCCCCGTATTTTTTTATAGGGAACTGCCCCCCGACGCCAGGACCCCCGGGGGAAGGTGATTTGGAAGAGTGGGACATTCGTTGGATCTTTTCTCAGGGCCGGAAGCGATGCCTTTTCCCGGAGAATATTGCCATTTAGCGAAGACCATAAAAGGGCTTTCGCAACATAATTACATAGAACCTTAGTTTTTTTTTCCATTTAGGTAAAAAACTGGGAGATTTTCCTAACAGAAATTTTTCAATTTCCACATGACGGCTTGGGTGAAGATGCCCTTCTCCTACTCCCATCGCCGCATTTTTTGGGGCCCCCCCGCCTAAAGCGTTTTTTTTCACTTAATAGGACGTTGGGAAAAAGTGAAAAACTTCGAAAGCCGTTATTATTTTAAAAACATAAATTAAATTCTTTGAAACATTCCAAAATGAACACCCGAAAAAATAATTAACAAAACACATTAGTTAAATTTTTTTTAAAATAATCATTCTGGATAGCAGCAACATAAAATTCCTAAGTACTACCTTTTTTTACATAATTAAATCCCCATCTCCCACCGTTAAAAGGGAAAAACTGGAGTACCAAGAAACCTTTATGGTTTTTGTGAAAGCTATAAGCACGTAACCCCGCTGTTGCCACCCCTTGGGCAGATAAAACCCGACATTAAACCCGTTTAAGGAAAAAAGAGAAAAGTATATTGCAAATAGCAAACACTAAAACGAAAAGGTGCAACTCCTAAAAAATTACACATTTTTTCCCTTTCAAACTAAAATTGGAGAAGTTTTTTTTTTTTATGATAAAATAATCAAACACATCATTTCTTGGTCCCTTCTTCCACCCCTGGCCCCCAGAAGCAGCCGCCAACAGCAGCTACAGCAAACACCCTCCGAAAGCCGTCCCAACCAAGAACCATCCTCCCCCAGCCCACCGGGCCCCCTTAACTTCTTAAATCCACCCCCTTCCCGGTCAGTCCCCACCAACAGGAAACAGCCGGATCAACCCCCCTCTCCACTGCCCCCCCGGGAACTGGGCAGCCTTCCCAGGAACCCCGGGGTGCAAAATCCCAAATGCCCTGCCAACCCGGCGGGCCCGTGGGGTCCCCCTCCCACCCCCCCCCCCCCCCCTTCTGCGGCCCGGGAGAAAAGGAGGTTTGAAAACCCGGGGCGGACGGACCACACCCGCCCACGGAGAAAGATGTTCCCCTGACCCGGGTAAACAGCCATGGCTCCTACGCTGAAACGTTAAGACCAGCCCCCCTGTGTGGAAATGTCCCCCCCAAAATCAGAAAGGGATATGGGGTCCACGGGAATTGCAATGGGCGTGAGGCTGCTGTTACTGAGGCCAATCTTCTACAGCTTAAACGATCAAATGTTTGGGGCCGAAAATGGAATGTGGTTGTTTTATCCATCCAATGCTGATATTGTTTCAATTATCCTGTGGGAATCCTTTCCAATCTAAATCAAACTTCCCATGAAAAAACTTTTTTTTTTGTATTGAAATTTATTGAAGCATTTTCCCGTTGGGTTCCCTCGTGTTTAATTTGTGGCGTAAAATCCTGGATTAACCCGTCCCCCCAGTTGGGGGGTTTGAAGCTTGGTTAGAATTAAGTTTTTTTTGTGCTCCTAAGCCTTTACATGGCTAGCTTCATAAAAATTGAAGTTGCTAGCTATTTTTAAACAAGTCCTATTGTGCCCTAGCCCCAGTGGGGTTTTATCCTGCTCGAGTGTAATCCCTTCAAGCCGTTATTTCCACCACAAACACCCACCTTGTGGGGGGAATCACCAACCTGTTGTGGGGGGCCCTTGATACTACGGGACTGTCCCCCCCTTTTTTTCTACCGCCCCCTTTAGAGAGCTGGGGTAGGCCCGCCTCTCGGAGCATAGGATGCCAAAATGCTGCTTTTCATTAAGGCTTTTTTTAAAAATTCCAACATTAAAAAAGTAATTTACAAAGTTGTTAAAGCGGTGTACGATGGTAAAAAACACTGCAAATTTTATAAACTGCCAAACCATATGGTTGGAATATAAATTGAACGCATACCATTCCCCAATGCCCATAGATTCTCCCTCATCATTTTAAACAAAAATAATTCAGATAAGCCCAATAAGAAATACTTTTTCTATAAATGTAGTAATTTTTGTTTTAAGGTAAAAGCAAATACATATAATTATAATACAATATAATATATATAAGACAAAATTTCCCAAATTGGTCAGAATTAGAATATTTGGATACCTGTAAAACAGTAAATTTGTGTCCCCCCCAATAGTTGTTTTTTTTGAAGGTTAAAAAAAGTCTTAATTTTAAAGCCTACCAACCGTATTTTTTTCCGATTGACTTTTGTAAGAACAAATAAAAATATTGTTAAAAAACCAAAGCAAGACATGACATGCTTTTCTACAATCAATTTAAAAAAACAGTACTTTTTGCAGTGCTCTGAGGCCCCAATTTATCAATTATTTTTTGAACTAAGAGTGAGTGAGAGGGGGGTCCCCCCTCTCCTTTTTATTTTCCAGTTTTTTTTGATTTTTCCGGGTCCCTTTAGTAAACAGGTTTATTTAGTGGCTTGCACCTAGAGGTACTGGGAGGAAACCTACAACAAACATGGAGAGGAATATCAAACTCAAAGTTCAAAAATGGCTTTCCTCCCCTAGAGTGGAAAATCCCTATCCAGGAACCTGCTTTTTTTTTTTTTTTGAAATAAGACACCGGGAAAGTAAAACTAACTACTCAGCCACCTGGGTAAAAACTAGCCTGGGTGGACAGAATCAAAAAGGTAACCATTTACATTCAATAGCAAATCCTTGGGGTTGGGAAACAAAGTCGATCCCCCCCATTTTTTCCCTCATTTCCTGTCCCCCCCCTTCAAGCCAACCTTACTGGTCCCACCATAAAATTTTAACACATAAAAAACACATTTTCTCCCAATAGTTTTGACATGCCCTAAAAACACAAACACAGATGGCAAAAATTTAAATACTGTTAGCAACGAGAGAGGGGTGCCCCCATGCCGCTGTATTCATAAGACTGACCCTTTGGATCGCTGGTTTTTTTTCAAGTTTCTCTCCCTGTACCAATTCACCTCTTTGAAGGCAGGCCTTTTTTTTGGACCATCCAACAAATTGGGTTGGCACTATATTGAAAAAATTTTTGAAACCCACACTTCGTTGTTTTTCCCGCTTGACAAAATGGAAAAGAAAGATTGCTTTCCCCCTCTAACTAAAGCTTTGGAGGAAATCAATTAAAAAAATCCTACTAAAAAATTAATAATGGGACCCCCTTTTTTTAAAAGTTTTTTTTCCTGAAAATTGGGGTTACCCCAGATTTTATTGACTGAGAAAAGATGCCCTATGAATAAAAATGGGGGTTTTATTTTTTTCCGGTAAAATCAAACATAAAAAATTAAAAAACCCCTATGTAAATGGGAAAAAAATAAAATATTCCCGGATAAAAAATCCCTTTCCCCCAACTCACGATTAACGATAATGTTCCCCCACGATATCTTTTTTAAAATTCCATCCACCATTTTTTACCAAACAAAAACTTTGAAAATCCTGGCAAAATAAGGGGGGGCCGTCATAGTTTGTCAAGTTGGTAGAGCATTGGCCCTTCAGGCCCTGAAGGTCCACCCGTGGGGTATTTTCAATTTTTTTTCCCACCTCCCGACCACCTTACCTCCACCGACTCCCCCCCTGATGACTGCTGTCCGTTTGGTGACCCCCCCCCTGTGGGCCAAAGACAAATCTTTAAACCCCAACTTTTTTTTTTGCCCCAAAGACCCCCACTGAAAAGCTCAAAGCTAATGCCCTCACACTCCAAGAAAAAAAGCCCGTTTTTCTTCCTTGGACTCACCACCTGCAGAGGGTTCCCAGTGAAGGGGCCTGGTGGGCCCTAAATGAGACCTTTGGGTGGCCATCTCTGATTGCCACCCACCCCCTGACCCAAAATTGAATTTAAAATGGGTAAGAAAATATTTTGGATGATGGAGTGAACTGCAATACTGGTTTTTCCTTACCAGGGCATCTTATAGAATTTGGAGACATGTAAATATCAAAAATAACAGCTTTACTTATTTGTAACGTGGGCTTACCAACACCATTCATTGCAAAACCCGTGCTAACAAAACCATACATTAACATCTAAAATATCTAAAATTCTAGTAACAACAGATATAACACTGAAAAATAGAGAAGGTGTTTCTTTTTATTTAGGGTTTGGAGGACACTATCGACAGAACACCCCGGTCCCAGATAAAATCCTATAAACAGAATTTTATGGCATGTTTTTTTATAGCCAAGGTGATTCCAAGTTTTGTAAAAATTTGTATTGTTGTTTTTTTTTTTTTTGAGTGGTGGGGGTCCCAATAAATTGTGGGGGGTTGGGTGCCAAGGTTATGGAAATCCCCCTATATTTTTCCCCCCCGGCCATGTCAAAAAAAAAAAATAAAAAGCCCCTACAGAAAGTTCCTAAAAATTTCCGACCTTTAAAAAACTCAAAAAATTTTTTCGACTTTTTCATAGTCAAAAAAATTACGAGTTTTTTTTTTCAACCTGGCCACAAAGCGCATACCGTATGTAAATTTGTTTGTCCTTGAACGTTTACCCCCCCCCGCTGGTCCATCCTATTTATAGATCCATGAACACCATTGGTTTTCCCCCCCCATCCTCTACCTGCAGATTTTTAATGTTGAACAGATTTTTTTTGCCCTAAAGACCCCAGTGGAACCCAACAATAAATCCCAATGAAGTTAGCCAGCAAATTAATGTAGGGTGGTTATAAATCCGCGTTATAAATCTCGCAATACGGTTCCCCCCCCCCTCCCCTCTTTCCCCCAGATTTTGTGAAATGATAATCCGCTTTCAGAAAAAGCCTCTCTTTAAAGTTTTTATCCTAACACTGGAACCCCTGTGGAAATTTAAATAAAAAACACATGCGGCTTGGTTTCCCCCAATAGTCATTGGGAAAGCAATCAACCCTGGGTGGGAATTCCTGGTCATAATCCCACGCTAATCGATGGATGGCAAAACCAGAAAAAAATGCAGTGAAATGAATATTTTTGTTGACCTGACAAGAGAACCATTCCGCCAATGACTGGACAGTGGGGGGGGAAGGTAAAAGGTCCCCCCCCAGACCAGAAGGCAGCGGAAACCACATCCCCCCCCCGCCCTCAGGGGCCACTGAAAACAATATAAAAACCTTTTTGGATTTGCCGAATGTCAAGTGGGCATTTGAAGATATGTTAAGGGGTTTTGCCGTGCCACGCCGGGCCGAAACGTGAGAGGCGCTCTGGGGTGCGCCCTGATGGAGCCCCGAGCCGTTTGCCCGGGTAAAAAGGTTATTTGTTGGCCGTAATAGCCAAGAACACAGAGAAATATTAGTAGTGAAACAAGTTGCTTTTTTTTGTCTGGATTTTATTTTAATTGTGACAAAAGACCCTCCCCCCTTTTTTAAAAGCAATCCAATCCGGAGGGAAAATAACCTCCCGCAGATAAACAAGTTGAGGGTCCCCCTTTTTGAATATGGGGGAGTTAAAACCCATTTAAAGAAATGCCATGAAAATAAAACCTCCCCAATACTCCCAACAAAACCGTAGAAAAGCGCATCCCTTTTTACAGCCTTGAAATACTCGCCACCCCGTGTGGGGAAACCCCTCTCAGCGTCCATCGTGTCCTTGGGATCAGAGTGGTTTCTTATACAGATTAGGAAAATTGGAAAAAAATGGTCACCCCCCCCCCTCCCCCGAATGGCTTCATTTTTTCCTTTAGATTTTTAAATTTATAAAAACCATATTGGGGATTCCCCTCACTTTAAAAATTTTTTGGTTACCTAATGTCCCCAAAATAAAGAAAGTCCGTTGGAGTTAAATGTTTGTAATTAGGTAAATGGAATGTAAACATAAATAAAAAATAAAAAAGATACAAATCCTCCCTCCCCCCTCCTCCCCCCCTACGACCGCGGTCCCCCTGGGGGCTTTAAACAGGAAAGTGTTTTACAGAAATTCAATCCATACCAACATTAATTTCCCCTGTCCTTTTACTTCCATGGATGACAGTTGGTCACTGGTAAGGCAAAAATCCCTTTCACATAATTCTGGCAGGTGAAGGATTTGTCCCCCCCCCCCCCAGAGACCCGTTTCAGACAACACATACTAATAAATTACTAGTAAATTTTTTGACTTTGTAAAAAATTCCCCCACCCCTTAATTTTTTTTTTTGATTTTTATTTAAAAACTCCAAAAAATTTTTTTTAACTTTCCCCTGTATGCCTTTTTTTTTTTTTTTGTTTTTTTTTTTTTTTTACATGGCGGAAACGGCCCTTCCCATAAAAACTAAGAAATTAGAACAAAGAAAAAAACGGAATTGATAAATTAAAATAACACATAAAAAAATCCAAGAAGCCGTATGGTGGGTCCCCGGGCTAAGTAAAAAAAAGAAAACTAAAAAAATAAAGTCATAACTTAATAACATAAAAAATGTCCAACCCATAGGTTTCCCCCCTTGTAAGGGTCCCCCCCCTTAAAATAAGTTTTTGACAATAAATACGTAAATAAGTAATGTAAACCCACAAACAGAAGGTTGCCTCATAAAGGACAACTAAACATTACAAAGGTGCAAAGGGAAAGTAAAAAATAATAACCATAATTTTGGCCTTAATGTAGCAATATTTTAGCTTAAATAATGCTGCAGACAACACACAAGAACTCTCCTTTTTGCAAATAACACAAAGTCCCCCCAAACTACACAATGTAAAGTCTTTATTTTTCCCAGACCCCCTCCTTCTTAAAAGATTCCACAAGCCTAAACAGAAACTTCCCTTTCCTTTGGGGGTCCCCTTAAAAACGCCAAACAGACATGTTTAAAAAGACCCTTTTTTCCCTCCGTTTTCCCCCCACTCGCTGTTGTCCCTTTTGTCAATGTCCCCCAAAGCAGCCCGTCCCCTAATGGTACCAACGCCGGTCTGGTTGTTTGGAAAAAAACGCCACCAATTCTCGTGTGAGGTTTCCTTCCAAGTTTGGCCAACGTTAAAGAATAGTGGGTTTTGTGTTCGCAAAATAAGGCTTTCAGTAAAGACAAACACAGCAGTGACTGGACCTTTTTTAGCTAACGAATTTTGACCGAATGGGCCATCCTTTGGGCCGCCCTAAATGGAAAGATTTGGGTAATTGGGGAAGATATGAAAAAAAAAATAAAAAAAAAAAAAAAGCATAATCGTTCAAATTCACGTTGTTGGCGATATTATCGTCCCTACAATAAATATATCCGCCAACCCCTACATTTTCGAGCAACAGGTCCCCCAAACAGTAAAAATGTAATTAACAATGGCTTTCTTTTTAGCCATGATTTCTTCCTGACCGTTTATTTTGGGTTTTTTTAAAACATGTTCCCCTTGACTAATGTTGGCCCCCAGGGTTCCGGCGCAAATAACCATCCCACCGACCCGTAACCCACCCGTCCACCCTACTAATGGAGCCACCCCAACCCCTCCTCAGGCTACCCCAAGCAAACCTCCAACCCGCCAGTTTGCGCTAGCCCCGTTTCAAAGTAAAACTATTACCAGCATACACCCACTCCCAGCACAGACGCATCCTGGTTAAAAAACCACCCTACTGCCTTCCGCACCCAGACAAACAAGTACCCCCTCCCCTGCCACCTCTTCCCCACGGGCCCCCACCCGGCCCTGCCCAAGTACTGTCCCTCAGGGTCCCTATAACACCCAGAGTCCCCCCTACCAACAAGTTATTTTGTTTTACCAGAGCTAAAACGTCACCCCCCCCCGCGCTCCCCTGCCGCTCCAGCCCAGAAGGCAGCCAGTAAAACACGAACACCCCCCGCCTCTGCCCCTGTGCTGCCCCGCCACATACACCCCCCCAGGCGCAGAAGCAACGCCCCACATGGCCCGGGCCCCTTTGCTGCCTGTTCAGACATTCCTGCCCCCCTGCCACCAAGTAAACCAGCCCTGTGAGGGCCCGACCTCCCCCAGTGAAAGCAGCGATGCCCACAAATACTGGGCCCACCAGCAAACTGTGCCAAATCCCAAAACGGCCCCCAAGCCGCAGGCTTTTCCACGTATGGTATTCATTATTTAAATAAAAAAAATACTTGATTATAGTTTTGGCAACGCACAAAGCATTCGATCCCCCCCCCCCAGGTTTTTACAAAGGCCCAGTCCCTTCAGGGTTTTTGTTTTATTTATACAAGGCACATTTTTTAATCTGGAAAAAGGGATGAAGGCGGGTATTTGATCCCGCCGATCTGATGCCAAGCCAAAGACCCCATTTTGCTTAAATGGAGGGGGTTTTTGAGAGAACTTTTGAGGGGTCCCATGTTAATAAGAGGCCCTTGTGTGGGGTCAATGAGGAGGACCCCCCAATTTATTTTCGGTAGGAAAAACCTTGGAGGCCAGTGGATTGTAAAAATTTGAGATCGGGAGATGTGGGGGACCTTTGGAGCTTGGTTGTGGGTTTGAAGCCAGTTGTGCAAGCAGAATTTCCCGGATGTAAAATTAAGTTTTTTTTTATTTAAAAATAAGTTTGGGAAGAGTCCATAAGGAAAGGCCCCCTATTGCTATATTTTTGGTGAGTCCCCCTTGAAGGTAAAATGACGGTTTATTTGGAGGCCTTGCAGATTTTTCTGTAAATTGAAATTTAACCCAGAAACAAACTCAAAGCAACAAATTATGATATCCGAAACCATTCAAAAGCAGGGTGGGCGTTCCTGGGTATAAGGTAACCCAAACCGGAACACAAGTTTTTTTAGGGGGCCGGTCCACATGCTCAAAGCCCCCCCCTAAAAGCCTGGTTAAAGTGGCCTGGCCCCTCTTTCCCCCCGATTAAGATCCAGGCCCTTTTAGGTGCCTTTATTTTTTGACCTGCCGGCAACAAACTGGCTTTGGGCATGGGGTTTTTTTTGCCTTGCAAAGTTGGGCCCCTGGAGCACGGTTTGTTATTTCCTACATCCCCAATGAGGGGTCCCACTGTGGCCGGGTGGGGTGGGGGACGTGTGCATCACATTTTTTAAACGTCTTTTACCCTTTGACCTGTGGTGAAGCGCAGTTTCCAACCACACCCCCCCCCCCTCTCCCCCCCCCTGCCAACGTTTTTGTTAATTCCCCCTCCGCTTATGGTTAAACCCTTTTCCAATTTATAAGCCCCCTGGGGGAACCCCATTGGGTTCGAGGGGCCCGCAGGGGAGGTGTGTCCAAACGGGATTACACTCTTCTGTTCTTGACCCTCCGCCTGTCCCCCCCCCCCCAAACAGTGGTGGGTTGCCTAGTTTTTTATTTTTAAGTTTTTCAGTTTTTTTTTAAGTTTTTTTAGCTTCTAAATTGCAAATAGCACTTCAGAACGTTCAAGAATCAGACTTTATTTTAATCGCAAAACACACCCCAAACCATTCACTTTGTTAAATCCAGGCCCCCTTGGCTTCGGTTCCCCCGCCAGCGCGTACCGCCACACTTTTTTCCATTCTTTTCAATCTTCATCCATTTCATTTCTCAGCGCTCATACCCTCTCCATTTTACAGAAATGAAAGGGCCCCGCGCACTCCTCCGGTTGGTCCGTCCCGCGTTTTGGCCGCACCAGAACCACAAAAACAGAACAGCTGCAAAACTTTGCCATCAGAGGCAAAACCCGTGAATCAGAGTGTTGTAAATGTCACCCCCTTTCCCCCAAACACGCGATCCCGTGCTTCGAACTGTTTAAGTTGGCATACAGTAAAAAGGCAAAATGGTAAAAAAACATGAAGAGAAACGAAACGAGGGTTACGTTTTTTTTGCTGAAAAGTTATATTAGTGCACCCAAGCGAAACCGAGCGTTTTTGTTTATACAGCCACATTGGGGCCTTTGAGAGAAAAGAAACCCCCCCATCCCTGGGGGAAAAGGGGGGTTTAGAGCTTGCCAAAACCAGGTACACATAGCAAAAGCCCCCTCATTTGATTTTCCCACTGCCAGGTGGTGAGTCCCCAACAGGTTTTTGAGAATCCTTTCCCCAGCGGGGCCCTTTTATGCAATTGTGGGGGTTAAGTGGTCCCTTTTGGGCCCCAAATGACCAGTTGGAGTCCCGTTGAAAGTATATGTCCCCCCCCCCTCGTGGTGGGTTCGAAACCCACAAACCTTCTGGCTTCTAAAGGCCATATGCTCCCCCTCCCAACTGAGCCAACTTGTCCCCCCCCCACCCCCCCCACGCCCTCATTTTTTTAGGCCACCTTAAAAATTGTATATTTTTTTTGGTATCATTTTAACCTTTTTTTTGCAGAAAAGACCCTCTTAATGCTTTTTTTTTTAAACTTAACGAATTAGAGTCCATGGATATTGGTGGATTTGTAATTTTTTTTTTTACCATTCCTTTTGCAAGAAAATTATCAACTCCTAAGTTTTTTTTCAGTCCATGGTTTGAAATGGTTTTTTTTTTTTTTTCCAAGCTTTTGGTCCAAAAACGTAACTCATTTTTGGGGTGGAATAGTGGGTGCCCAGAAAAAAAAGCTTTTTTTCCCGCAATTAACCCTCCCCTCCCGATTCAGCAAATACCCTCCCCCCCTTTTGTGTAAAGTGCGGCTGCATAGTTTTGAAAAAACAATTGCCCCCACAAGTGAGACCATTCTTTTAAAGCAACTTGTGCTGATGGTGTAGGTTCTTTTGGAAGAATATTCCCAAACCTGGTTGGGGGACCTATGAAAACTGTTTTTTTTTTCCCCATCGTTTCCCCTGCGCCTCCTGGTTTTTTTTATCCTGAGTAATATGTCCCCGTGGTCTGCCAACCTTTTTTGGGCCCTTAAACTAGAACCTTTCTTTCATTTTCCTCACAATTTTTTTCCTGACCAGTTTAAAACCGAAAAGCTTGATGTGGTGTTTTGAAGTATGGTATGTACCACAGCACAGAGTAAAGAGTTTTCCCGTTTTTCGGGCCCCCCCCCTGAAAAAATCAAAGCCCCGACCCCGGGCCCCCGAGTCCCCGCCTAAATTTCTAAAGCCCCAGCCCGATTTAAGCCCGACCGAATTTAAAACCCGCTGGTATAATAGCCCGAGCCCGCAAGAAAGCCCCGCATTATAATTACCGAAATAATATAATATAATAAAACTAGTAAAAGGGTACATTTAAAAAATGCAAAATATTTTTTAGAAAAAAAACAGCAAAATGAGAAATGATTTTACATTTACGAAAGTATTTTATTAAAAAAGAAAGTAACAAACCCAATAATTGGAACTTAAAAACCCAAAGTAAGGCATATAAGACATTTAGTTTTCAAACCCAAAACACAACAAAACTAAAAAATGCCGAACCTTAGCCCTATTAAAATATGGTTGGTTAAAATATTTTTCAACAACAAAAAATTTATGTTTTTCCAACTTTCAAATCAGTGACCAAGGGCGTGTAATTTTGGAAAGAGAAAAAACTGTCCCCTCCGTTAAAGTTACCCTAACAAAAAACTAAATTTAAATTTATAAAATAATCATATAGCATATATATTAAAATATAAATAAAATTCAAATAGATGGACCATGGGGAATGAAAAAAAAACAAATAGAATAATTTAGGGGGAAAGGAAGTAACAGACATTGCGACCTTCAAGAAAAAAACAGCAAAACGGGCCCCCCCCCCCCTCAAGCCAATCAACAAGTGTTTTATCCTGCCTAATAAAATATAAAATAAATATTTTGGGTCCCCAGTTCCCCTCCACACAATAAAACTAAAATAATTTTTGTGTGTAACTTACTTAGGCGTACTTTTTACGTGGGTTACCCCCCCCTTTCTACACGCGCATGAAAACAAAAAAGTAAAATAGCAAATCCGACCCGTTAGAGGTTTTTTAAGAAGCTAGTCCCCCCCCTGGCGTTTTCAACTGAGGGTGGCGGCCCCCGCCTGCCGCTGAAAACCCCCTTGCCCACGTGCTTTTGGCTGCCTGCCTCGCAGGGAAAATGCAGAAGCAAACCGATTTTTGGCCAGTTTTTTTGGGATAGTTTTTAGGGTACAACCTAATTGAATTTGAAAATTCTTCCAACCAGCCCAGTTAAGTTTCCTCTGGTCCCCCCCCATCCCTGCCATTGCAATGCGTTTTGAGTGATTGGTAGAGGGGACAACCCTCCCAAATCCTGTTCCGGAATGTTTGTCCAACACTGTCCCATCCCCCAATTTTTTTCCCAACTCCTGAAAAATGTCGACCCAATCGCATTTTCTTTTTTGGTGCAGGTGCTGTTTGTGGTGGGAGGAGCTGGAACCTGCTTCACTGTCGCCCAAGCCTATCGCTGAAATTCCCCCGAAAACTCCTCCCAATGGATTGGAGTAAAAATGTTCGACAATGGGCCCATGAAACCAGTTTGAAGACGTCACAGTGGGACATTTAAAGTTAATTAAATTTTTAGGCCCAAAGGAAAAGTTGCCCACTTTAATGAAAAAAAAAATGTGCAGTTCCGACATTTTCCGTTCCAACATGTTCTGCATGCTTTTCTTGCGCACAAATGCCTGCTGTGCCCGAAGTCCCTGTGGGGAGACATTCAGGCATAGTGACGCTTCCAGCTTCTCAACCACACAGGCCCAAAAACAAGGTTTATAAAGTGGGGATATTTTGTCCCCTTTCCCAAAGTTTATTTCCCTCTGTTGCCAATAAAATGGGTTCCAAAAAACATATAGTAAAAAAATTCCAAAACCGTTTTTCCGGGGGACAAAATATTTTCCCCCCTATGCGCTCTTGTTTCCTTCCCCCGCTGGCAATAGGAGGTTTTTCGCTCAAACCTTCCGGAACCAAATCCAGCACTGACTTGAAGGGATAAGATTATAACCGTGCGTGAATCCCCTGGACCCCCCCTCAGCCCATTGGCAGAACAGTCCTATGAGAGCTGTGCAAGCCCCAATCCAGATTTGTTTTTCACTTCCCCCCCCTGGACTAGAACTTTTGGGGCCGCCTGTTTTTTTTTTTTTATTTGTCTCGC